TGCCAAGAGCCTAGGGCTCCTCGGAACTACAACATCAGTTTTTGAAGAATGGTCTACTCATGAATCTTTGATAATCCTCAGACCAATAAACCTCCCACTCCCATGCCACCCCCTCCTGTTCCAGATCCCCCCCCCGCTATCTACAAGATCCAATCTGCATGGATTTGAAATTGAACAAACGGACTCACCAATACTAGTTGCTAGTGTGATATCTGAATTTTTGAAAGAAGCTCTCTCCTCATCAAGCCCAACTAGAAAGTTAAAAAAACAATAGATTCATGCTTTGCTTGTACAAGTCAATAAGCTTCAAGCTACCATAACCAACTGTAGTAGTAGTACCTTAGAGAAAATAGTCAAAAGATTGGATTGACTAGAACAACAACTATTGATCTTGGCCCCTCCTCCACAATCAACCTGGGCTTCAGTCACAAAAGGTAGCAAAAAAGACTGACCAACCCAAAATGCCATCAGTGCCTGCAGTACCATCCAACTCAGAAATCAATGAATCCAAGAAGGCAAGTGTTGTGAGACAAATGAGACACCTCCCAAATAGCCGTGCTGGACTCAATGTCATCTCCATACATCACTTGTAAAATCAAAAGTGCTCTAGTGTCAATAAGTGTAACTGCCAACTTAAAATCTATTCAGGTAGCTGGTATTGCTCCGGCTTGGCTTCCATCAAAAGATTCAAAAATCTACACAAGCACCAGAACACAAGCTTGTTGGCTACTTACAAACAAACAAATATGGATGGAGCTAGTCTATGCTGATCTCAACAATTTCCCAAGCAGATTCTCAGCCATCCTTCACGCTATACCAACAAACTTTGATCCAAAAAATCAGACACACCTACAAGAATTAGGTAAACAGAACCTAATTGACCTGTCCCTGATACAATTGGCCCGTTGGTTAGGAAAGCAGCTTGTTAATGGGAAGAAGAATGGCTTGCTAGTTCTTCAGTTACTAAACAAGGATATCATGCTCAAAATAGAAAAGACAAGTCTATTCCTTCAAAACAAACTATACCAAGGTGCACACTATGTTTGATTGGTCCCTCAATGATTCTGCTGCTGGAAAGGATACGGCTCAATGGTACAAAAATTCACCACTCTGAAACAAATATACCAGAAATCATGACTCGAACACTTGTAAATTGCCTTAAACCAATCCTACTAAGTGCTGTGTATGTATCACTCAGGAGAAAAATATCTTTGAAGAAACCAATCAACACTCCAGTCAAGAAATATGCTCACCCCCATGGTCAGAATTATGTCCACTAATGAAACAAGATATTCAAAGCCGCAAGTGACAACAATGGAACAATTGAACTATAAATTTCATTTTTTTAGTATTTTCTCCTGGTCATCCTTCAAGTCTCTACCTGCTTGATTTACAACCTACCAGTACCCCCAACCATAATTAGCCCACACTTTTTACTACTCAGTTTTTATTTTGGGGATTAATAACAGTGCACGGGTTTTTCTGTGTTTACACCCCGCTTTGGGGGTTGGTGGCACACCCATTTTCCCGCAAGGAACCCCATTTTTTTCTTCTTACATGCTCAAGGACCGGCTTTGACTGGTCCTTGATCGGAGTACACACTCTTATAAACGGCTGGCCTTCCATGGGAGCAATGATGGGAACTTGGAAGTTACATATGTTACAATACCTGGACAGATTTTGTAATGTAACTTCCCAGTGTTACCAGATAAAATGCTACTGATATCTGGCAAACTATTTTCTGTTGTTGTAATAGTAATGCAACAAGGAGAAATTCACCCCTTGTTACAGACAAAAGTAACATTGTTTTCCACATTTTCTGAGACAAAGCCCATTAAGAAGGGGTCAAAACCCCTTGCTATCCGCTTGTTACCCACACATTCCGGTGGTGGATAATGTAACGGGAGTGAAATCATAAAAAAATGTAATGGTAAGCTTGTTGCAATTATCATAGCAATAACAGCACTGATTCTGTTATGATATCATTACATTAGCATTATCAACAACGTAACTTCCCATCATGGATGGGAGTGTACACTCTCATCAAGACCAGTCAAAGTTGCCAATGGGAGTAAACACCAGGAAAAATAAACTATCACTTAAAAGCAAGTGGCATCTCAGATTACAATGGGGCCTTTGTATTTGGATGTCACTTTTCATCAAGTGATCATTGATTTTTCCTGGTTAAAAGCTTCCATGGCAAACAGTCTTGATTGACAATGGGAATTGTGTACTACCATTTTCCACCAGGTTTGCTCAACAATGGGATTTGTGACCGGTTGTCAATGGAAGTACACAACTGCCATCATTGGCCGTTGATGGAAGTTGTTTACTCCCAGTGATGACTGGTTTTGACCGGTATTTGATGGAGCCCAATGTGTACTCGCATCAAGGACCGGTACAAGCAACACTCTGTAGTTACATTACCCGTAACGGTAGTGTGAAGATAAAGTAGTGAGTTTCTACTCATTATAATTACTTTCCCCATAATGTTTGGAATTTTTTGCACATTACATGATGCATTTTGCCTTGCAATTTTTTTCCATGCTCATGACACTATCAGAAACTTGTAGGTTTTTTTGTTTGAAAATAACCATAAAGATTGGTAAGACATGTGATACCTTCTGGAAATTCATGGAATGTGTTGCTGCCAAAGCTCAAGAGAGGCTTTTTACCACTTAAAATGTGTTTAGGTTTGCTTAAACTCTGGATAATCTGATAATGCATTACTTTATCAATCCATTACACACAAAAACTTCACCGGGAATGAATCAAGTGCACTACATGAATGAGGTAATGCAGATAGTGCAGCGTAAAGTAGAGACCCAGTGTTAATACAAGCTGGTTGTCATAAGGAGAACACTCTCCCATCAAAGACTGACTTTGACTGTTTGTTGATAGGAGTACACAACTTCCATTGGCGGCCAATATTGACTGGCCAGTGATGGGAGTGTGAACTCCCATCAAGGACCAATGGACTGGCTTTGAAGGACAGGTCAAAGCCAGTCCTTGAGCATGTAAGAAAAAAATAAAAGAAAAAATACTTTTCCTCATGGAAAACTGGGTGTACACACAGAAAACTGGGTGTACATACACTTGGAAAACTGGGTGTACACACGGAAAGTAGTTACTCTAATCTGACCTTAAACCAGCAACCAATTTGGTTGCTCTCAAAAGGCAAATATTTTTTGTGATTGGTTGCCAGGTCTTATTCTTTGGGTTGTTAGTGGACACAATGTGTAAAGTGCTGGATATGGGTGTTGTCAATCTGAGTTCCCAAAACAAAACAAAAAAATGATTCCCTGCGGGTGAGAAACACCTGTTGAAATTTGTCTTTGTAAGACTCATGCTCTCCTGCGGCCACGTTGGTGGGGAGCCGATGATGGTCCAGCGCCTGTTCCTGCAGTTGGACGGCCTTGAGTGTCATAGGGAGGTAACAATTGGCCATCAGGACCATATTCAAGAACTGGTTCAATTTCTGTATCCTCTGGGTTTCCACGAGCCGGGTCATGCTCCAAGCTGAATCTGGCATTTGTGCATAGATCCTGTTGAGGAGCTGGTAACCAGAACTTCCCAGGAATGGCCTCTGGGTGCATGAGGCATCCAGGGGCACCTTCCTGAATCCTCTACTCATATACGTCACAATCCATGCAGTGCCATTGGTAGAATCGGGCCCCCTTGAGACAATCATCAACTGCAGTTTCCCTGAAACTGATGCATGGGAACTGTTGCAAGACTGATGTGCGGAGGAGTGACTTGGCTGAACAGTTACCACATTTCTCTGCTTTCCACATATTGGATTGCACATTGAGGGGTGCAGTAAGCAGTGTGCACATGAGAATCAGGTCAGTGCAGGATATTTTCATGGTTGTGAGATGGTTGATGTCTGTGGGAGGGGAATTGAACTGCTGGAGAGGGAGGTTGACAAGATGGTGGGGGGGGGGCTCTGAAGTGTTTTAGGACACAATTATGTAACCACTGTGCCAGCAAGCTGTGCTGGTGAAAAACATCAAAAACTACCATGTGTATATGACATCCACCAAGAATTTGGCAATCCAAATTGTCTTGAAAACTGCTTGTGCTACTAAGGCTTACACCTTCACAGACAATAAAGGAGTCCTTTGTTGGAACACCAATTTTGGAGGAGCTGAACCTGGGCAGTATCTCTTTCTAGAAATCTTAGAGGTCTTGGAAAACATAACTCCTGATATTGACAGTTGTATGGTTTGGTGCCCAGGACACAGGGTTGTAACAGGAAATGAAATGGCGGACAAGATTGCAGGGGAGGCCACCTCCAGAAACATTAACCCTGAAAGAAGACTCAAAGGCAATTTCTTGAAAGCAACAAGAAATTTTCTGGCGTACTTCCAAACTACACCAACCCAAGAACTGAATGCACAAATTTCCAAGCAACACATTTCACATAGTTCTAATCTACAGCTATTGTGGAAACGATTGCGCTGTGTGATTCCGAACTTTTTTTTTTTTTCTCGCGCGCAACTTTTTTTTTGCCCCGATCCTCGAAGCCCGGCCCCGCCTGTGCAAAGTACCGCGGAGTACACACCGGGTGAGACCACCCGATTTCACCCGATCAGCCGAAGTTATACATTTTTTTTTTCGGGCGGAGTCGGTCATGATAATCGGTGGGTAATCTCCTGCAAATTTACCCGGCGGGCTCGGGGCTTCGAGGATCGGAGGAAAAAAAAATGTCGCGCGAGAAAAAAAAAAAAAAAAAAGTTCGGAAATCAGCGCAATCATTTGCACAATAGCTGTATTATAAATCAACTATGCTCTGGAGCTTCCCTGCCTCACCACCACCTCTTTATAGCCAAGTGCTGGATGGACCCTATCTGCCCCTTCTGGCCTGGGACTCGGAGGGGAACCACTACATATTCACTTCTTTGACTTTTGCCCACACCTATCAATACTCCGGAGCACATGACTTGTCAGAAGAGCAAAATCCAAGAAAATCAGATGTGACCCAAACAGACCTCACCTATCGCTTAAGTCACCAAAGGCTCACCCTTTTATAATTGAATTCATCAAAGATTTGAAACACTTTCCCTTCATCTAGGTTTATGTACCTAGCTCCACAACCTGTTTCCCTTTTGCTCTCTGTTTTTCCTTCTTTTTCTGTTTTCTTTTTTCTTTTTTTTTTTAAAAAAAAAAATTCAGATGTACCGGATACTCCTTTGCACACTCCTTAACCAAAACTTGTAAGACGTCTTCAAATGTTGTTTCCTACTTGATATCGCATATTCATAGTGCGCAATGCCAACGGCGACATCCCACTTTTTTCTTTTTGAAATAAAAAGACTCAGGATACCAACAAGACCAGATGTCAGGCCAACAAGCAGAAGAGATTGAAGTTGAACCGTATACCACTGTGATTGTGTCGTCTGATGACCTAGGTGAGCCCATTGATGAGTCTAAACACAATAAAATTGAGAAGAAGAAAAAAAAACTCATAACCATAATTTAAGATTCCAAATATTTTGCTGATGCTTATTATTGAGCTCGTAATTTTCAGTAGCAGATCTATTTATCGAAGCGCATAACAAATTGACCGAGTTACTCGAGGAGGAGGCCGGAGGATTTGATCGTGCGCCAACTAGAAGGCATATCAATTCGGTCCCATTGGTGTTCGAAAAGACGACCAAAGAAATCCAGACGATTCTAGTTGAATCGGTGGCCAGGAAAGTGAATCTGCTACATGAGATGTTATCCGATTCGATCAGCCTTCAAAAGCTCCATACTGCTCACCTTCGAGACGGGATCAAAATTCTCCAAGATATCGAAGAGACTGTTGAACAAATCAGCTCCTTAGTCCACTCATCTTGGACATTACGTGATCGCAAACCAGGCTGCGGTTTTCAAATTGAAGAGGGACCTGAAGAACTCCTAAAACGATATAGAGCTGAACGAGTCCAATCGAGACTGGCCGATAAGTTCTACAGCCTGGGCGATCTACTGGAATCTCACTTTGCTCTACTGCCCCTACCTACACACGGTCACGAACCCATGACGAGAGTGGAAGCGAACGTGAAATTATTCCAACTGATGTCTTGTATTGAGAATGAGAAGGGGTGTACAGAGGATCTGATCGAGGTGTATGAGATCTTGCCGCTTGGGCTCGTTCAGGATCACTGTGAGCGTCTGGCTGATGATATCGGTGATTTATTGGAGGAGTTGCTACAGGTTTTTAAGCCTTCACAAAGATATACATCGCCAACCACTCCGA